TATGCCATCAAATTAATTCTTACTCATACTGATCTTATGCATAACAGAACAAAACACTGTTTGATCGTGCACCAACCTAATAATGTTATGCTTGAGTTAAGTCCTGCTGCCACTGTGGCAATCCATCTTGTTGAGGGGGGGGTGGTTCTCCCTTTTTTTTCGATGACTTTCCACTTTACCAAGCATGATGTCCTTCTCCAGGGATTGGTTCCAACTGATAAAATGTACAAAGTATGGAGACAGTGTCTTGTCATCCTGGCTTCTAAGGAGCATCCCAGCTGTACTTCTTTGAAAACAAATTTGTTTGTTCTGATGGTCCATGATACTTTTAGTACTCTTCTCCACCACCGTAACTCAAATGCATCAATACTTCTACCGTCTTCATTATTCATTGTCCAACTTTCACATTCATATGAGGCTATTGAAAATGCCATGACATGTTGTCCAAATTATCTTTGTTCTTGAACACATTTGTCTTTTATCTTTTTTTAAAAAGGTATTTGCAAAGAAAGTCATTGACCTTGTACAATTCTATCATGCTATCTCCAGCATCATTTCTATCACCAAGGCCATATTTTCCAACTAATGATCTTGCCTCTTTGTTTCCAACCTTTGCATTACATAATCACCAGTAATCATCAATCTATCTTGATTGCATGCTTGATCAATTTCAGTCACTAGAAGTTGGTAGAATTCCTCAGTTTCATCATCACTGGCTTTAGTGGTTGGTATATAAATTTGAATAATAGTGGCTGTAACTGGTAGGCATATATTATCCTACCACTGACAACGCTATACTGTGAAGACATATTTTGAAATGTTCTTTTTGATGATGAATGCTATACCATTTGTCATTCCCAGCATAGTAAACAATGTGATTGTCAGATTTAAAATGTCCAATACCAGTCCATTTCTGCTAACTAATACCTAGGATATAGATGTTTATGCATTCCATTTCATTTTTGACAACTTTCAATTTTCCTAGATCCATACTTCATACATCCCATGTTCTGATTATTATTGGATGTTTACAGTTGTTTCTTCTCATTTTGAGTTGTGCCCCATCAGCAAATGAAGATCCAAAAAGCTTTATTTGTTCCATTACAGTCAGCTCTGCTTTGAGGTATCAGCCTCTCTCAGCTTGCATTTTGAGTGCCTTCCAACCTGAGGGGCTCATCTTCCCACCCTATAAATGACAATATTCTGGTGCTATTCATGTTTCATTGTTCAATATTTTGTTGCTGTTTGACAGTGTCCCACCGCTATTCATAAGGTTTTCAGTGGCTAGAAATTCAGAAGTAGTCTGACACTCTTTTACCCTAGTGTATTTTAGTCTGGAAGCTCAGCTGAAATCTACCCACCATGAATGACCCTGATGGTATTTAAAATACCACTGACATAGTTTCCAGCATCTCAGCAACACATAAACCACCACAGTACAACAAACAGTACAATTTCAAGTGGTGGCCAGCTAACTCCTATTTAAGAATAACCCAAAGCATCATCCTGTTGATGTTTCCATGAAACTGAAATCAGGGAGCTTCTTCCTGTCTAAAACAAGTCCTTGTAAGAACCTGAAATCTACTGCTGTCAAAACTTGAATCCTAAAATGGTTAATATTTTCTCTGGGAAGCCTTCGTGGCATAGACAGTTAAATGCTTGGCTGCTATCCAAAATGGTGGTGGTTTGAACCCATTCAGAGGCACCTCCAGAGGAAGACTTGCAATCTGCTTCCTAAAGATCACAGCCATGGGAGTTTCTCAGAGTACAGTTATACTATAAAACGCATGGAGTTGCCATGATTCAGAGTCAGCTTTTATTTATTTGTTAGTTGGTTTGGTTGGTTTATTTTCTCTGATCTGTTAAGTCTGAAATACAAGAGATGCCACCAAGAGCAAAGTATGGATTTGGGTGAATGTGTATCAAAAAAATCTAGTCCTAGGATTCAGCATTTACCTTCAGCCTTTTTATATCTTAAATGTGAAAACAATAATAAGAGATTTTATGAGAGAAAGCACACTGGAATTCAATATTATGGGTCATAGATATGTCTTCATTACAAACAAGTACACATTTCCACATTAGAGCTTTGCATACCAACAGTAAACATTTCTTGAATGAATGGTTAGGTCTCCATAAAAAATTATTACTATGGCTAAATATTTTGTTGCTGATGGTGATTCAAACCCACCAGCTCTTCTGTGGGAGAAATGACTTGGTGATCTGCTCCCTGTAAAGATGACAGCCTAGAAAACTTTATGGGAAGTTCTAGACTGTCATATAGGGTTACTATGAGCTGGAATTGAATCGAAAGGACAAAACAATCACTGTTATCTCTACGTCTTTAAAGTATTGATAGGGAAAGAAATAAATGTTTTAAACTACACTGTGTACCCATAAATTCACAAATTCAAAGTATATCTGTAGACATAGTGAACACTCTAGAAAAGTCATCTGAGAGTTGTATTTTAACTTTCTTGGCAAATATTTACTAGATTGATGTATAGAAATTAAATTTTTTTGTAATTTAACCACCAATATCTAAGACCAGAGCTATCTAAATTATCCTAAATTATTATAAACAGGAGGAAGAAATTATTAAACATTGTTCACACTGAGAATATTGCAGATTGGTTTTCAAAAGGCATTGCATAACTTCCATAGATGCCACCCAAGAGAAGTAGAATTTGGCTACATGTAATGTCCACTCCCTTAAGAAATTTTTAGTAAACTGGGATTAAAGGAAAATTTGAATAAACAACATACTTACAAGTGGAAATATTTCCTGAATAATGTCAGGAAAAAGATAATGGGGAGCTGGTAGTTCAGTGATTAAGAATTTAGCTGCTAATCAAAAAGTTGACAATTCCCACCCACCAGCCAGGTTGATGTTCTGTAAGCATCAAAGCCTGGGAAACCTGATGGAGTAGTTCAACTCTGTTCTCTATGGTAAGTGTGTATCATGATCCACTTGATGACTATGAGTTTTTATATTAATAACTGTTGTTAACTGCCATCAAGTCAGTTTCGATTCATAGCAACCCTGTATAGGGTATTCAAGGAAGGGCTGTTGGGCTTGAACTGCCAGCCTTGTTGTTCAAACCTCCCTTATGCTCCTGTGCTTATACTACAGTGCCACACCAGGACTCCATATTAATAGTTGTTGTGTGCCATACAGTCAGTTCTGACCCATAGTGACCTTGTATAGGGTTTCCAAGGAGCAACTGGTGAGCTTGAAACACTGACCTTGAGGTTCAAACTGGCTTTGCAGTCCAGGGCATTGACCCACAGCGCCACACCAGGACTCCTATATTAATAGTTGTTAGGTGCCATCTAGTTGGTACTGACTCATAGAGACCCTATGCACAACAGAGGGAAACACTACTCGGTCCAGGACCAACCTCACAATTGTTGCCACCCTTGAGCCCATTGATGCGGTCACTTTGTCAATATATCTTGCTGAGGATCTTCCTGTTTTTCTCTGGCCCTCCACCTTACCATACATGATATCCTTCTCCAGCATCTGGTCCCTCCTGACAATATGTCCGAAGTATGAGAGACGAAGTTTGGCCATCCTGGCCTCCAAGGAGCACTCTGGCTGCACGTCTCCCACACAGCCCATGGCACCTTCAATATTCTCCGGCTCTATATTTAATCTTTACCTCAGAAATCCTATACAGAGTTGCTATGATATGGAACTGAATTGACATCACTTATTTTCATTTACTTATTAATTATTTTTATGTTTATTATTATTTTCCAATTGATAAGATAATAAATAAAAATAATCCAAGAAAATCAACACAAAAACATTTTGGGTATAACAAGAGTTTAATAAAATAAGTAGCTACAAAATAAAAATCCAAACCTCAGTAGTTAGCAAATTAAATATGATCTGAATTGTTTTTGTCGTGTGACATGGAGTCAGTTCCAACTCCTAGTGACCCTGTGTAGCATTTCCCAGGTGTGGCTACTGAGTTTGAATCAACGACTTTGTGGTTCAAACTGACCTTGCAGTCCAGTGCCTTATCCCATCTCAACAGATCCAAAAAATTCAATTGATAAAATGCAGAATCTTTCATTTAAAAACAAAAAACAAAAAACTCTATATAAATAGAAATGAACTTACTTAACTTCTAGATAAAACCAACTATACAAACCATTATAATTAATGGTAAACATTAAAAAAGGACACCATGGTGAAGAAGAAAACAAAACAAATCAAATATCAAGGTTACGAGCTGACTTCAGTATTTCTCTTACTCGGGAATCAAACAAAAATAACCAAAATAAAAGAGAGACAAAGGGTATTGCATAAAGATATTATATCATTGAAATAAAAATGCAAATCTTCTGATATAAAATAAATAAGTGAAAAAGCAGAAAGGGCTTCTTATCCCCACAAAATTACCATAAAGTTTAAAATATTTCATATCAAATGCTTATATAGAGTATGCTATCTTTTTTCTAAGACAGTTGGGAAGGATTGCCTAAATACACACAAAAATAAAATTAAACTCTAAAAGTAATTAAACAAGGAATATTGAATCATAAATTTTTTAAATGTTTAAATATAGGTGAAGAAAAGTATTGGGTGGAGTATCCAGGGATAAAAAATAAGCTTTTTTGAACATGTGTTATTTTGGTGATTTAACTTTTAAAATTATGTAAATATTTTATATAGTTAGAAATCAAAATTAAATAATAAAAAGCATGATCCCTAAATATAAGGACTTAAATTTAAAACCTAAAAATCACCAAAAGACAATAATGCAAATAAAGCTTTTTATTTCGCCAAGATTCTTTTATATTTTCTGGCCACTCGATATGTGAAACCAAAGTTTATAAAATAACTTTTAGTAGTTGGACTTCAAATAAACATACATACATGGTTCTTGGATTTTTTTCCCTCACATTTAACAAATGCAAGGAAACAAAATAACAAGTAAAATGAGCAAATGCTGGGAAATGTTATTATCATCTCTTTTTAATTTCTCTAGGAAAATAAAGGAAAGTCTGGAGTGTTTCCCTGTTAAATTGAATAATTTGATCCACACACTGGCACAAATGGCAGCCATCAGCCCTGCCAAATCTACTTCACAGACTATACTGAGTTCAACCAGGTCAATTCAAAGAGCAACAATTTTAGGGTTCAACAAGAAACACAGTCATGTAAGTATCAAGTTTATCATCTTGCCTTAAGTATCATTTACTTCTCAGATTTCCCGTGACTATATTAGCCATTCTTATGCCATGATTTTTTACTATGCAAATGAAAAATCAGAGTTTAAGCATAAGTACCATTAAGGAGGATGTTCTATGGGAAACCGTAACAATCAAAGCTATTAGTAGAGAGCCACCAAAGAGAACAGTTCCTGCCTTATGCTAGAATATAAATCAAGAGCTAATTACAGTGTCCACAAGCAAAGAACAAAACTGATTTCGCAGTCTGTTCCCAGCACATCAAATGACGATATCTTTATATATTGTGTTTATAGATAATTCTGCCTTTACAAACTACATCTCTTAGCTTTTGATAATTTTTTTTTTCCAGAAATGACCTTGCTTTGTTTAGTGTACATGAAACTCGATTTTAGAAAGTATTAGAAAGTTTTGCAGGTGGACATTGCTGTCTTTTGATTTCGTTCTGTTGGCTTTGTGCAGCTGTATCTAATCAAGGTGACCCGGAGTGACAATCAAACAAGCCAGACAGTAAAATCATTTGACGAGTTTTCAAAATTTCACCATCAACTTCAGAAGCAGTTTACGTTGCTGACTCTCCCAGAGTAAGTCACAGTCCTCTCCAGACCTTGATTTTACCCTTACTTGTCTGTGAACAAAGAGAAAATTATGGTTATAGTATTTAGCAATACAGGTGCTCCTCATATCATAAACAAGCTCCATTCCTAAATCGGTTAAGTCAAACCTGTACATAAGTGGGAACAGTTAGCTATGGTTCCTAACATCAGTCAGCAAAATATGTTTTAGTATATAGTGTATCTTTCTATGCAAAAATAATAATAATAATAATTAACTCAAGAAACACTTCCAGATGTACTAAAAATTTTTTAACATGATTTGCTGTTGTTAAGTGCTGTTAAGTTAGTTCCAAATAGCAACCCTGTATAGGGTTTCCAAGGAGCAACTTGTGGGATTGAACAGCCAACTTTGGGATTCACAGTCCATGTTTGTACTACAGCACCACACCAAGACTCTTTTACATGACACTACAGCAATAAAAATAATGATTTAATGAGAGTCTAAAATAAGGCTTGTTTGTAATTAAGAACATTGTATGTACCTAGAGTTTTGATATAATAGGCTTTATGGTGATTATTTCATAACTATAGATTGTACTTATATCAGAAGTCCTAATCTCAAGAATGCTTGTACATAATTTTTATAACATAAATGATTAAAATCAATTAATATGTATTAGTATATTAATAACTCATTGTTATTAATTCTTAATTTTGGATTGGAGTATCTAAATATAATTTATTATATTCTTTTGAAAGAATTTAAAAATCATTGTCTCTATTCATGCTGTAATGGGAAAAATATTAAGCATGGGCAAACTAAAAATATAAGTAACTTCTATTCAAGTAAACCTTCTAAAACTCATCATTTATAACTAGTCAAATTTAGATACAAGGATATATCTTGACTTTAAAAACATGAACTTCTCAGAAATTGTGATATTAGTACTTTGGTACATCAAAAGTTTTTTTTATTTATACTGGAATTTTGTCTGTAAATGTTGTTTTTTGCAACGTGAATGTCCTTAGTTTACCTGATAAACTTTAAGTATGTGGATTTTTACTAGACTTTCAAGTTTACTAAACTCTGAGATAGAGATATAAATATAAGTTTTCAGCATATAAAGATATCTGTGTGATATAGATAATTGTGTTCTTCACATTCATGGAAAAAAAAGCAAAGTATACTTGCAGATGCCACAGAGGGTTTTTTTTTTTATGTTTTATTGTGAATTATGTGATAGTTTACAAGGGAGAACTTTAGTTTTACATTCATTCTATCATATATCATTTCATTGCCATGGTTACAATTGCCTCCATGCATCATCAACCAAAGGGTATACCCTGCAAGCCTGCCCCCCGGTCGTCAGCACACAGCCCCTCTCCCTCTCTGTGTCTAAAGTCTCCAGCTGCTCCATCTCTCCACGTCATCACCACAGAGGTTTTTAAATATAGATGTATTATACATCAAAAAGTTAAGGCACTGGAATGAGAACATCATCAAGAGACTGAGGAGGAAGTAAAGTTGTTTTGGAAACTTAAAAACACATCAGGTACAAGTTTTACTTGCAAAAATGAATTAATTTGCTGTTCAAATTAAAAAAAAAAAAAAAAAAAAAAAAAAATTTAAAAGTTTGGCTTCCTGCACTGAATTCAACATCAGAACATCAGTGGTTGCCACTAGACCCTGTAATTATTCATATATAAATTTAACCTGGTTAAATAGTTGCGCTTTTTTTGTTTGTTTTAGAAATTCTCCATTCTATATTTTTACTTCTCGAAGATATAACATTATAATATAAAACTTTTAATAGTACTAATAATCTTTCTCCATGTGCCTCCATGTGATATTCAGCTTTAGTTAAGATTCTGCTTTGCTCATAACTACTGACTGGCAATAGTAACTAAATTAATTTTAGAACTATTCAAGCAATCTGTTGAGAGGAGGAACATTTAGTCCTATGTGCCTGCACAGTATTTGTATGCTGATACTCCCAACAGGGCTAAGGCTTTCAGTGTTGCATATAAATGAAGTGTGTTGGCAAGATTTCCTCTGACTCCTAAATGTAATGAAATAAACCCTATGAGAGTTATTTAAACCCATTTTGGGAAGTGTGATCAGAAAGTTAGAGTCATGTAGAATAAAATCCAAATTAGTCTTAGGTTTAATAGTGAACTTCAAATTGGGTTATTTGTACCCCTGGGTTACCTTCCAAGATTACAAGAAGCATGAAAATTTTCCATAAAATTAATGGTCTTTTAAAAAATTTATCTCCTTGAAAAAGGTCGATTTTCTTATTCTCTTCCACTTTGACCATTTATCATATCCAATCACCCATAATCTTATTTTGTAACATTGTTTCAGGGTCTAGATACCTCTGAAGACCAAATAAAAGGGCAAATCAAAATATCAGTGTTCATGTTGAAAAGTGAATTACTATAGTAATCAGGTATCAACCCTGTTTTCAAGTCAGGTGTTTCCAAATCTTTGTTCTGAATAATATTGAAGGAATGCATGATGGAGCTGTCAGAAAAAGAACTATGGAAAATAATAGAATAATAACTGATCACTATGTTATATTTAATGACCTCAGGTAGTATAGTGGATTACAAACTAGTTACTAACCTCAAGGTCAGTAGTTTGAATCTACTGGCTGATCCATGGGAAAAAGATGAGCCTTTTGCTCCTGTAAAGATTTACAGTCTCAGAAACTCTATACAGGGTCACTATGGGTTGGAACCAATGAGGGCACTTAACAACAACCACATGTTAAATTTGACATAGAACTCAAAAATATTTTGAACAATTGAATTACACTGCTATAGCAGAATCCCTCAATTCTTATGAACTTATATCTGAACATATTTTTATTATACATACACATCTACATGTAGAATATACAGTGGTGAACACTGTTTTATTACAGCAGTAAAGAAAGTTCAGACACAGAAACATCAACTAATTTTTTTTAATCAGCCCAATACATCTATTTATCAAATATATTTCCAAATAAACTTTACATTTTATATTTATTAACCACACAAATTCTATATTTTTATCAATAGAATATTGGTATTAGTTTTCATGATGTCAGTTGGATCTTGACTGAAAGCAGAGAATACCAGAAAGATGTTTACTTATGCTTTATTGACCAGCAAAGGCTTTGAACTGTATGGATCATGGCAAGCTATGAACAACATTGCTGAGAATGAGTATTCCAGAACACTTAATTGTGTTATTGAGGAACTTGTGCATATACCTAGAGGCAGTCCTTTGAACAGAACAAAGGGGACACTGAATGGTTAAAATTGGAAAAGGTGTGTGCCAGAGTTGCATTCTTTCAGCATACTTGTTCAGCCTATATGATGACCAAATAATCCCAGAAGCTGAATTATATGAAGAAAAATGTGGCATCAGGATAGAAGAAAGACTCATTAACAACCTGTGATATGTAGATGATACAACCTTGCTTGCTGAAAGCACAGAGGACTTAAAATACTGATGAAGATCAAACACCATAGTAAGGGTTGCACCTCAATGTAAAGAACACAAAAATCCTCACCACGTAACCAATAAATAATATCATGATAAATAGAGAAGAGATTGAAGTTGTCAAAGGTTTCATTATTCTTGAATTCACTATCAACACTCAGGGAAGCAGCAGTCAAGAAATCAAGTGCATTAGGCAGTTCTGCTGCACAAGGCATTTTTAAAGTGTTTAAGAGCAAAGATGTCAATTTGAGGACTAAGGTACACCTGAAGCAAGTAATGTTGTTTTCAATAGCTTCATATGCATGTGAAAGTTGGATAGTGAATAAGGAAAACTTTGGAAGAATTGATGCACTTGAGTTATAGTGTTCAAGAAGAATATTGAAAGTACAATGGACTACTAGAAGAACTAATAAATACAGCCAGAATGCTCCCTGGAGGTCAGGATGGAGAGTCACACGTCAGTCATATTGTCAGGAGAGATCAGTCCCTGGAGAAGGACACATTATTTGAGGTAAAGTGGAGGGTCAGCAAAAAAAGAGGAATATCTCCAGTGAGATGGATTGGCACAGTGTCAACAGCAATGGATTCAAGCTTAACAATTGTGAAGATGAAGCAGGACAGGGTAGTGTTTTGTTCTGTTGTGCATGAGTTGGAACCAACTCGATGACACCTAGCAACAACATTAGTGTTCATGACAGCTAAATCCAGATGATGGGTTCAAACTGCCAACCTTTTGATTACCAGCCAAGTACGTAAGCACTATACGACCAAGACTACTTTTAGAGTTGCAAGAGACTTTAAAAGAAACAAAAAGACATCATTTTGGACTTCCCTGGCATTTCCAACAAAAAGCAGTGGATTGGGGTGGCCTAACATTGCTACCATATTTTTATGTGTTTGCTGACACTTCATTGTCATCCACACTCATTTCCATAGGGAAGCAAGGTAGACCAGTAGTCTTGAGCAAGAAGCAGACGTATAAATAAAGCAGCAGCAAGATTGTAAATAGAGGAAGACAGTTCGTACAAAGGTACATTAAACCAGCAAAAAAGTATGTTGGAAAATGTTACCCAGCAATCGTCATATCGTGTGGCACTGTTGGATAAGCGCTGGCTGGCTAGTTCAGTTTGAACGTCAAAATTGGCCATGCAAAATGACTAGCTGCTCTTTGGAAACCCTTTAAAAGGTTGCTGTTAGTAGAAACTGACTTAGGGCATGTAACAACAATAGCAACAACCCAACAATTAGTCAAGTCTGATCCATCAAGATGAGTCACCTTGTATAAAAACAGAGGGAATTCTCCAAGTGAGATGCTAGAGAAAAGTACTGCTTTGACTAAAGACCAGATAGAAGCACTTGTCACTTAGTAATTTGAGTCATCACGCTCTAAGTAATCCCCTGAGGCCAGGATTTGAAATGTTTAATTTATATATGTAGCAATGTATCCAGCTAATCCAGAAGAAACAAAACAACTGATCTTTTTGAAAAATATGTATCATTAACTTCCTAAAATAAACCCCACATGTACTGAAAGGACAAAAACATTTGGCTTCTCATAAATACAGCAAAACAAAGGGCAAATATTTTAATTTGCATGTTAAAATAAATGACTATTAATGGCAGTTAAAATAGTGTGAGTGGCCACAGCTATCTAGATTCCTAAAACTCTCCAAAGTAAACATGTACAACAGCTTTTTTTTGAGTTGTGGTGTGGCACAGTAGGATGAGCACTTGAGCACCAAGTCAGTTTGAGCCACAAAGTTGACAGTTCAAACTCACCAACTGCTCCTTGGAAACCCTATAAGGAGTGACTGGACGGCACTTAATAACAACCACAACACAGCTTTTTGAAATGTTTATATGAGCTCTTCTGTCTGATGCAGCTGTAACTTTGTAAACAACCCTAAAACTACACAGTGCAATTTGCAAACTAATGAAGATATCCGTTTTTCTTTTAAAACAGGTTCCCTCATTGGTGGCACTTACCTTTCACAAATTGTGAACACAAAAGATTCAGAGATCTGAATCACTATATACAACAGATATTAAATGGATCCGATGAAGTTGCAAATGTATGTTATCATTTACTTGTGCATTTTTATATAAAATATCAACTATTTCATGTGTTATTGCTAGAAAGATTTAAAAATATTTATGATAATATTCTTTCATTTTTATAGTCATTTAAAAAATGTGTATGTTTAATACGTGAAAATCCCTAAACAAGGAGCTATGGAGCAACAAAGAAGCTATAAAACCTTGGCCTCAAATAACTTCAAGGAAGTAATATGTGTTAAGTAGACTATCAGAGCTGCAAAGTGCCCTAGAGTTTTAGAGGATTGAGAATTACTCCCAACTGTGATGATAAAAAAGATTTCAGGAGAAGCAAGCATGTGAGCTGGGTTTTTAACACAGGATAGGATTTAATAGAGGTGGCCTGAGGGAGTGTTTCAAAAGAAAGAGATTGTATTAGTTCTCTATTGCTGCTGTGACAAATTGAAACAAGTTAGTGAGTTAAAATAGCACAGATTTATCCTCTTAGGTTTCTGGAGGTCAAATGTCTGAAAATGAGTTTTATGGAGCTAAAATCCAGGTGTTAGTAGTGCTGGTTCTTACTAGAGTCAAATCTGTTTTCTTTCCTTTTTCAGTTTTTAGAGACTGCCTGCCTTCCTTGTTTCATTCCCCCTTTTCAGTATTGATGTCACTGTGACCCCTTTTTCATTAGTGACATCTCCTTCTCTGCCTCTAACTCTGACCCTCTGCCTCACTCTTATACGGACACTTGTGATTACATAACCCAGATAATACAGGTTATTGCCCCCATCTCAAGATTCTTTATTTGACCTACAAAGTCCCTTTTGCCAAGTTGTTAAGTGCTATCGAATGGATTTTGACCCATAGTGACCGTGTACAGTGTTTCTGAGGAGCAACTAGTGGGTTTGAATCGCCGACCTTGTGGTTTGCAGTCCAGTCCTTATTCTACAGTGCAATACCAGTAACATTCACAGAGCTGGAGATTAGCATGTGGACATCTCTGGTGCTCTATTATTTAAGCCAACCACAGGGATCTGTGAAAAAGTGGAAAAGCACAATTCTGTTGAAATCTCTATTTTTGTGAAGAAGCTATGATGGGAATATAAAACTAGCAAGGAGACTAGGACCAGGTTGTTAAGAGCTAAAGCTAAACCTTAGAGAGTAAAAAGGAACTAAAAACAGTAAGAACACAATGTCTCTTTCCATTCTGGAAGATCGTGACCCTCCTTATAAGATTGAAACTAAAATGCTTTGTTTTGTTTTAGTCTTTTAAATTATAAAATATAACATGCAAACAGAAAACTATGTAAGGCAAAATTGGAGTGTTCAAGGATTTATTGTAAAAGAAATATTCATGTGCAGTATTTCAAAACATGTCTGAATATCCTTTGCCTTCTTCTCATCAAGGGGAGTTTGTGTTCCCTCATCTAGAACCTGATTGGGTTTTTATAACTCCCTCATCAAACAATATGATAGACATAACCCCTCATGTTTTCCAAATTAGGTTAGAAAGGAACATGCAATTTCTGCCAATATCTGTTAGGACACTCACTCTGGGAGCCTTCAGCTGTCATCTACACTGAACTACCTAAGTCTTGCAGGTAGAGAAACCACTTAAAGATCAAATAGAGAGATGCCCAGGGAGCAGCAGCTGTTCCATTCTCCAGCTGCAGTCCCAGCCTACAGCCAGCATCAACTTGTAGTCATGTAAGAGACACTCAAGATGACTTCAGTCCCAGCACAAATTAATGCAGCATTATTAGAAACTGCAAGTAAGAATGCCCTAGTTGAGCCAAAACAAACCCTAGAACCCTGAGAGAGAATAATAAAATGGCTGTTGTTATTTTAAAACAACAGTGTAATGATTCATTATGAAGCAATAGATTACTTCTAAGGTCAAGAAATAGAACACTTCTGAGGATCTAGAATCTCTCTGGTGGTCCCTCCCTGTCATTATATCTTCCATTTCTCTTTTCTTTGCATTCTTAAAAAATTTAAGTAGTTTTATGTTCTTAGAATGTTTTGTTTGGTTTTGTTCTTTTGGTATTAAGGATTGTGGGGAGACAATATATAAATGGAATGATTTAGTATATATTCTTTTATGTTAGACTTCATTTTACTTAATGTAATTTTGTGAGACTCATCAATTTTTTTGCATGTAGCTGTAGTTCATGTATTTTTATTGTATAGTATTTTACTATATGAATATATCACAATTCATTTACACACTTCTCTATATATGGACATTTGAAAGGTTTCCAATGCTATGAACATTCTTTTAATGTGTGTCTCTTATTGTTGTTAAGTGCTGTTGAGTCAGTTCCATAGTTCTCTGCATAGAGTTTCCGAGGAGTGGCTGGTAAGCTTGAACTGCTGACCTTTCAGTTCAAATGACTTTGCAGTCTAGCACATTAACACATAATGCCACTCTGTATGTCTCTTAGTGAATATA